GCCAATTCCTTTAATGCACCTTGAACTTCCTCCTTCATTATCATTGGCTCTTGATCATATGCTACCTCTTGAAATGGTTGAACATCAACCATTTCGTTTTGGTGCAGGGGCTGTGTGTATTCCTTCCATTGTCTTTTGATGCTTTCTGCATCATTCAATAATTTCCCCAAAGAATCCTTCAATAGTGAAAGTCAAGGCTTGATTTTTTTCTTTAGTTCCCCCAGCTTGTGAAATGCTGAGTGTGTTCTTCCTTTTTGGTTTTCTGACTCCAGATCTTTGCACATTTTGTTGTAATATTTGGTTTTATCTTCTGGAGCTGATCTTTGAAATTTTCTGTTCAGCTCTCGTGCCGCCTCATTTCTTTCATTTGCTTTAGCATCTCTACATTGGAGAGCAAGTTTCAGTGTCTCTTCTGACATCCATTTTGACCTTTTCCTTCATTCTTGCCTTCTTAATGACTTTTTGCTTTCTGCATGTATGATGTTCTTGATGTCATCCCACAAGTCTTCTGGTCTTCTCTCTTAAGTGTTTAATGTATCAAATCTGTTCTTCAGATGATTCCTAAATTCAGGTAGGGTATATTCAAGGGCATATTTTGGCTCTTGTGGACTTGTTTTAATTTTCTTCAGCTTCAGTCTGAATTTGCATATGAGCAATTGATGGTCTGTTCCACAGTCTGCCCTTGGCCTTGTTTTAACTGATGATATGGAGGTTTTCCATTGTTTCTTTCCACAGATATAGTCAATTTGATTTCTATGTATTCCATCTGGTTAGGTCCATGTGTATAGTCGTCTCTTATGTTGTCTAAAGAAGGTATTTGAAATGAACAAATCATTTATTTTGCAGAATTCTTTCATGAGATCTTCAGCATCATTTCTGTCAACAAGGCCATATTTTCCAACTACTGCTGCTTCCTTTTTGCTCCCAACCTTTGCATTCCAATCACCAGTAATGATCAATACATCTTGTTTTTAATGTTTTATTGTGAATTATGTGATAGTTTGATCAATACATCTTGATTCCATGTTTGATCAATTTCAGATTGTAGAAGTTGGTAGAATTCTTCTATTTCATCCTCATTGATTTTAGTGGTTGTTGCATAAATTTGAATAATAGTGGTATTAACTGGTTTTCCCTGTAGGTGCATAGATATTATCCTATCACAGACAGCGTTATACCTCATGACTGATCTAGATATGTTCTTTTTGACAATTAATGAAACACCATTAATCTTCAATGTGTCATTCCTGGCATAGTAAACCATTTGGTTGTCAGATTCAAAATGGCCAATACCAGTCCATTTCAGGTCACTAATGCCTAAGATAAGGAGCTCTGGTAGCGTAGTGGTTACGAATCAGGCTGCGAACCTTAAGGT